AAAGTGTTTGTATCATACGTAGGGACACCGTATCGAAACAAAAGTATCGATGCTGTACTCATGAGTAGTATCTAAATTCGGGCCACCTCGCATTTTTGTTTGAAAGGGCTAGAATACAAAAGTAGTGTTATCGTCGAAGAAAAAGTTTTCCCCCGTTTTTGTAATTCCAAATTTTCAACAAGGATATATCGAAAAGACGTTTAGTATACTAGTTTCAAACGGCATCGGCACTGCGATTGCACTTGCAATGTCGTGTCGAGAATTTTTACGTTGCTCGTCGTAGATTTCCACGATACGAAGTCGCATCGTGATACGATGCCGAGTCATAGCACGACGCGACGTCGTATCAAGTTTATGTGTAAGAGCTTGAGCAAGAGAAGCCTCTGTGGGTAACCGCTCTTTGGGTGTAATTTGTGTTTGCCTGTGTGTGTCTGTTATTTCTTTATTTATTAACAAACCACATGAAATAAATTATTTAGTAGCAGTAGAGCCCTTTATGAAAGAGATTGTCCAGGGAAGTACTACCTTGCCTATTTCTACCGCCTAGCAGTAATGGGAGCATTACTGTGTTCCGGTTTTGAAGGCTAAGGGTGCTGGTGAAATTACAGGCACATGGGACTTATCAACTTATATCTCAGGGTAACTCACAGTGTCCGTCAAATCTTTGCGATTTAAAGCTCTAAGTGGCACTGCAACTGTTATCGACAGGCGTGTCGCTTATCATCAGATGCACGTAACGCGCATAAGGTGGTTGGGTAGGTTGGTCTTCCTGGCGAACGTTACCTTAAGGAGATTCGGGCTCAATAGAAGGACGTAAATAGATTGGTATAGTACAGTTTTAGATTCGACAAGATGTACATACAAGGTGTAATTAGAAACGCCCATTACTTGTCAAGAGTCGATACTGCCTCAGCTCGATTTTTTTTTCCTTTACTAATAAGGTTTACTTTGCTTGGGTTGAGCGACAGGGGCACTGGCTTCATTTCACAATTTAGTTTTTCACAAACGAAATTAAATTTGCATTACGTATACTATACTGCCTTGCTCAGCCGAAAGGCGCGATCTGTGAGATACGCCCTTTTAGTTTTTTTTATATCATTCAATAGCTATAATAATTTCGCATCTTTTGATACAATAGAAATAGCGTAACTTAAAACATTTAAAAAACCACTAAGAAGTATTTTTATATCTCAATTTTTGAAACCTTTCCATATTAACTAAAAATAACGGATATTTAAGTCGAATTTTTGCTCCACATGTTCTTTATAATCAAAATAGCGGTATCTCACAAAATAAGTAAAATGGTACAATTTATGGATAATTTAGGTATGTCAATAAACCTAATAGTGAAAAATAGGCATAAATAAGTTTTAACATCTTCAAAAAGATTTGTTTTTGAAGGATAAATCCAATTTACAAAAAGTCGTTTTTCTCGAAACTTACTCCGATTGAAATAGCGCTTTTCGGCTTATCAGGGCAGTATACGTGTTCTATTTAGTTCAGTTGTTATTTAAAAAAAAATTGGCATGTGTAAGGTACCTATTGAATAGCGGTTTTCTTGTATAATTTCGAGGTAAATTTGTTTTTTTTTCTCTCGTGAAATTTTTTAGTAATTGTTTATGACGCCATATACTAATCAGTGTATATACTAAATTTTACTATGTATTTTTTCCAAAGTGGTCGATTCCACACTCTCAATGCTATTCGCAATCAATCAAAGCGATTTGAGGTTGTATCGATTGTTAAGGTTGACGAGAAGAACGCGTGGTTAAAGACAGCAACGGTCTACTATCAATGTACCGTATGATTTGGTTATCTAATAGAGCTACCCAATGTTTTAGACCATGTTGATGATTGGCGTTATTGCTACGCTTGTCATACAGGCATCATAGACACTTGTTGTCTAGGAAAATTTACAATTGATAATTCTTGACTCGAATGATTTATATACACGTCGAGTTGACATAATTATGGCATAATTTATAACTCCGACGAGCACCCACGGCTTAGTCGATTCACTGTATCGGATCCGTGAAACAGTTAGCTCGATCCTAAGTCGACAAGTAACACTTCAAGCAGGGCCTAAAAAGGCATAACCGATTTGCTCTTTCGGGTTTTTATTAAAAATATTTATAACCCTCATCAAATCCGGTTTAATTAAGAAGGTTATTAAAATACAATTTTATAGTACAAACAGCATCCGTCATCGTTTATTTAGTTTTAGATACTTCGCAAAACAAATACAAATTTAGCTATCAAGAAATACTATGTATGGTCACATTGATTCTTCGCTATAACTCAGCGACTTACTTTAGCCACGTGCCGTGTAATTTAATACTTATTAATATACACGGCATTGATAATACGTAATTAATAAGTACTTTACAAAGTACATTACCAACTGTCCACCGACACACTACATCACGTAAAGATTTGCCACCATAACATCTGTACTATACATATATATCAATATACATTTACCATTTTCTTTGGAACTCTTTCTCTGCGTACAAGGTGACCCATATACAAAATATATTACAATGTATACAAAGAGTACGTGTACAAAATATAATATGATATAGGTACAAGAATTAATACAACTCAAACACGTCAATTTCGATGTTTTCCAAAGGTCAATGCTTCCTTGTCTTACTTTTCGACCTTGCTTTGAAAGCTAGTAAATGACGTGATTGAATTTTTAATAGATACTATTGTCAATGTAAAATTTATTTCGTCAGCGTATGATCGACATTGAATGCGTTTATTGTATTGTGTGTATTTATGAGTACATAAGTATATTAATAATAATAATGTATTGGATGGAACGTAAGTTCTGTCACCAAATAAGACAGGCATATCGGTATGTAACCAGTAAATTTGAAACCGATTAAATCGGTCTCTGTCTGAAAACAGCTGAGAGAGAGGTGCGAGCATAAAATAAGGCAACTATAAACTAGTAAAGTAAAGGCGGAGAAAGACAAATTCGCTTTATTACCGCGACATAATTACGATACATGTGCTATAAAACAGGGTTAAAACAACATTTTGTTTTAAAATACCAACTTGTATGAGTTGTTAAGGTGCTATAAACGTTCTAGCTTCTTTAAAAGGCTATAAAAGCTATAACACTTTAGTTAAGTTTGGGTTAACACAACGAAACAAATGCCGATAACAACAAAAATACCGAGAAATTTTGAATCAGATAGGTACGGTTAATTTAAAAAAAATCTAATTTTTTTAAATTGGTTCTAATCTTGGTGTTCTGATTCACCCGGAGTTAACTTGTTATGTTAATTAGACTAAATGTTACGAAAAGCCTGAGTGGTGTTGAACTCTCTTTGGGTATGGCACCTTGGCCCTCTTTTAATAGGAAGGTAGCGTTTTAGGGTCCATTGCGTTTCTGATTCTTATTTTTGGTGTGGTCTAATAAGCAAGGATTCTGTGCTAGTGTTGTTAATCTGCACCCATTTCCATATTCTAAAAAGAACACATACGAAGACAGTATTGTTCAAAACAAAACTGACAGCAGTTTTATTACCATTGACAACCTTGCTTACTTGCGAATGAAGATCGATTTTCAAGATCAATTGTGACATCAAATTGAGTAATGCTTGGCCACAATATAATTCGACCGGTTGTTAAGTGACAATGTACCCGACGATGAAACACTTTGCTCAAAAAATGCCTAATTCATTCTAGCCTTGAACAGCCCCAAATTGAAGTGTTCGGGAGACACAAACAGTAATGCATTCCATTACTGTCGTACGCATAGGAATGAAGATGCAAACGGATGATAAATCATGATATGAGCCCGGATGACGATAGAAGTTCCGATCCTTCTAGCTGAATGAAGTAAATACTGTAAATATATCGAAAAACTAACAAGCATGTTTCTAAGGTGGTCGTGATCTTGAAGCTTCGATCCCACAAGTGTCGCTATTACCTGTAGAGGTAATCTATTTATTCGATACTAGCTGTTGCCCGCAACATTGTCCGCGTTAAATTTTGATTTTTTCATCCTCTTAGGGGCTGAATTTCGAAAAATCCGTTCCTAGTACGCCAGCACAATTAAAAGTAATATACTCTCCAGTTTTCATGTTTCTAGGACTTATAGTTTTTTCGGATCAAAATTGCGCGTATTTGTTATTTGTTTTTTCAAATAAACCAAAGTTTCAGGCTCTTTGAGGCCAGTCCCCTAACGTAAGTTTTGTTTACAGTGACCCTCTTTGTTATAAATTATAGGTTGTCACAGGCCGTTGTCATGGACTTCATCCGATTCTCAAAAATGTGATCTTCAATACCGCAGAGAGAAATGCGCTGCGATATTCTGAGGTCAGCCTCCGTTAAAATGTACACTTTATTCCAATTGAACTAGTATGTATTTACAGCGCGTACACGTTGTCTAATTAGTCAACAAAACTTTAGGATATGAATCAGTTAGTCATATTTAAGTACTATATAGATAAAGGCATTATTAACAATGAAAGAGAAAAATAAAAAAAAATATTTTAATTTACACTAGGTTACTGCCGTATGACATTTTGTAATAAGGTTTAAAATCACAATAATTTAATTTAAATAATTGAGTAATTTT